ACCGATCGCGCGACTGGTCGCCAGTCGCTAGCGACCGATCGCGCGACTGGTCGTGGACTATGAAAGATGCCGTTGACATAAGCTTGATTTTGAAACTATCTTTGAATAGAACTCTGATCATATTGATCATGATTTTTATAGGACAACCACTCCTACTCCATAAAAGGAGTGTTGCGAGGTCTCCACTCCCAACCTGGTATGGGAAAACTAGTATCAGTGGTGAGTTTTTATATGATAGAAGGGTCATAGCAATAAAAATTGGATGACGAGCTATGTCGCGTTGGAATATGGAAGCTAAGATTCAAAAATCGCTCGAGAATTAACTCCAGGGGTCCATTCACATAGCTTCAAAGTATTTGTGAATGTCTTCGATAAATTTTGTGTTAATTTAACAACTTTTGAGATATCTGGTGAGATTTTTGACGTAGCTGTGGATTTGCGGCCTGGAAGCGCCACGTTTGGAAAATGGCATGGAGTTGTTTTGAACAGTACGAACAATTATGCATTCTGGATTCCTGATGGATTCGGCCATGGATTTCAGGTAGATGGTAGTAATTTTCATCTATATACATCTGAAAGTATCCGCTCATATCATAACGCTTGGAACTAGAATCAAGAATTCCAATCAAATAAGAGGCTCAGTCTCCCTGAATGCTCTGTCAGTTCCACCCAAGTTAGTATTCGCTCTGGAAGAGGCTCCAAGCTTCTCTATAAATAACCAGTAGCACCGCCCGGCTGACGCCGGGCTCCCTTCTTTTTGTGTTAAGGTTGGTTCCCTGCCTGAACCCTTTCCATATTCGAACACTCTGGTCTAGGAAAAGAGCGACTGCTTTCCGGCCGATCACATACACACACTTGGACACTTCGTGATCTCCACGCTTGCCATGAGCGACTTTTTGAAAAGTTCTGTGCGTATAAGAAACCCGGTCCGTTCCACACTTATTCCGAATTGACTTTGTATATTCACCCAGGTTGCAAACGATCCTCTCTCCTCCTCCATCCTCCCTCCACTCCCAGGTCACGTCCAGCTCAGTATACTGCGGCCTGTACTTCTACTAAGTTTGAGCGCTCCAGGTCCAGATTAACTGCTGCCTATACTTCTACGAAATTCTTACGCTTTAGATTCCAGAAAAAGGACTTATGACTTCCCCTCACCGTACATTTTCGCGCCAGCCCCGCCCCTGTGGGCGGAGTCTAGTATTGGTACGCACCATAAGCATTATCGTCCTGCCACCTGTTCTCCTAACAAATTCAAATACTCAAATTCTAAACTAACAATTTTCGCTGAACAATTTTCGTTTAAGCCTCGCCTCCTGCAGGCGAAGCCTAGTCGTACCACCTATCATCACAGTTTCCATCCTGTTGCTGTACCCCTACCAAATTGGAACGCTCTAGTTCCAACATGACAATTTTTGCTCAAGTCCCGTCCACTGCGGGCGATGTCTAGTCCTGCTATCCACTACGAATGCTCACACGGTGTGGCCTGTACTTCCACCATATCTGAACGCTCTGGGTCCCCGAAAGCGGAACTTACAAGTTTCCTCTTCAACAATTATTCGGCTCAAGTTGCACCCCCCTATGGGCGGAGTCTAGTCCTGCCACGGAATTCAACCTCGAAAAATTTCCAATTTTTATATAATTTTTTATTGCAAGCTCAAAGAATTGTACATACGCGACGTCACCACCGACTATTTTTTGTGTTCTTTCAAACTCTTTTATTGTGAATATAGTCACCTGAATGGGCCAAAGTAAATGAGGTCATCTAAAAGCCTTACTCCATACGAGAGTTCAAGAATCAAAACCTTGACAAAAACGACATCCGTTGCTACAACATGCAGAGCTTGCAAATTATTATTTTGGGAACTTATTGAAGGAGGACCTTTCCCAAACATTCAGAAAACTAACTGAGGTGATGAATAGCACTCCAAACATAATTCTTCTTTCGGAGATGTAAGCACAAAGAACAAGCATCTAATTGTACAGTTCAGTCACACATTTGGGAGGATTATCGAGATGTGCCATATAATTTGCCACTCGAGAATTTTCTTGTTTTTTTTCACTTGTTTCCCTTAAGTTGGCCCGAAGGGATGAGTCAAGGTGCGATACTTGCAAGTTCAGACTTCAAATGCAACCTTGATCACGTGGTATCTTAAGATAAGTTCATAGTTATCATTGACGTTTCAGTGTTTATCCGAGGAAGGAGCCCAAGTCTACTACAAATGCACTGCTGTATATGATCCCAAAACGGAGTACGGTTCGTACTTAATTGATTGCCTCTTGTACATTATTTCTCGAAGTTTCATGTGGATTAGGTATTGATCCCTTCGACAAGGACATCAACGTGGAGTGGCCGCTGACTGACAAGGTGATCGTGAGCGATCGAGACAAATGTCATCAAAGCTTTAAGACATTTTCCTCCAGATAGTAGGCCTACTGATTGTGTGCGAATCCAGTAGCATTGAGAATAGTTGATGACTGCGAGCAATATATATCGATCTATTCCTTTCAGTTAGTTCTATGGATTACTACGTTATTAATATTTGTGTCAAATAAATATCAGCTCTTTTTTCTTGTTGTTTTACTGGCTCCAAGCGACAGGTGCAAAGCAATGTCGACGAGTGTGATCTGTATACATACATACATACATACATACATACATACGTACATACATACATACATACATACATATATGTACATACATTAAATGATATGAAAGTTCACATGACCAAATCATTAGTCACCCTTTCACGGGTATGGGTACATACGTGCGTCCGAGGATATGCGCGGCAAATTGCGCGGCGAAGTGCGTAGCGATCCGAACGACTCTGGCGTCTATTATTGGGGCACAAACATGAAGAAGAGCAGATTACTAAGATCAGCTGATCATACTAATCTACTCTACTTCAAATTTGGGCCCAAATAGTGGGCGCCAGGGTCGTTCGAACCGTCACGCACTTCCCCGCGCAATTTGCCGCGCGCATCCTCGGACGCACGTAAGTTCCGTCCCCCCCCCCCTTTCACCTATCCTTAAAAAATCTTACCCATCTCAGTTTTAATCTTATCTCATTTCCTTATAGTGGTATCCTACTATATATAACGCGCTAAGTGTGTCTGTTGGTTAGTCTGTGTGTGTGTGTGGGTAGTTGCGTGGTTGACCGGAAATTCATAACTGCGGTGCCCAAGGACATAGAGAGTTCAAATTTGGCAGGATAGCAGGCGGTAGGATGGGAACACTAATGGTGGGTGGAAGGGCCCGACTCCTCCCACAGGGGGCGGGGTTTGTGCCAAGTAAATATTTGAGCGGAAATTCATAACTTCCGTCTCCGTGGACCTAAGCGCTCAAATTTGGTAGGCTTTCAAGCGGCAAGATGAGAACATTTATAGTGGGTGGCGGGACCAGACTCCTCCCACAGGAGGTGGGGTTTGAGCGGAAAATCATAACTGCAGTCTCCGTGGACCTAGAACGCCCGAGTTTGGTAAGAGGTTGGCAGGGCCGCTTTCGAACACAAGGGCGGGGTTTATGTGAAAAACTTAAGCTTGGACCTAGAGCATTCGAATTTGGTAGGAGCACAGGCGGCAGGATGGGGACACTTATGGTAGATGGAAGGACTGGACTCCGGACTAGGCAGAAATTCATAACTTTTCTGGGGGGCGGGGCTTGCGGAGAAATGTCAAAATGGACCTAAACGACCAAACTTGGTATGAATACAGGAGGTAGGATAGGAACACTGATGACAGTTTGCGAGTTTAAACTCCGCTTCAAAGGGCTGGGCGTGAATAAATACTGTTAGCTCGACCCAGACGGTTGAAACTTGAAGGCACAAGAAGCTGGCTGGGAACATTGATGGTAGCTAACATAGTAGACTCAGCCGCGATGAAGTCTCTAAATGCTTTTTTTTTCTCTGAATAATCGCCTTTGTGATATTATGCGATGTTCTATTCGGACACAGCGAAGATGACTTACAGAAAAAACCCTCCTAATTCGGAGCTAATACTGAGGGTGTAGAGCTTAGGAAGGAGATTCCGAAGCGCTATTTACGCATAGCAAATTCCTTACAGGAAGGAGGAGCGCCCGGCGTAGCCGGGCGAGCCCATAAGAAGGAGGGAAGGCAGGCTTTAGCCGGGCGGCCTGTTTGGTTTAAATCGTTAAGGCCAATGAAGCCTCTGTCATATTCAAGAAGCATTGAGATTTTTCAACAGTATTCTAGGATGGAAACGTTTACTACAGAGGTAACGGACATGATGGAGATTATAATGAGAAGTGGATATGAAAAGAAATTCATAACATTTGTACCACATAAACGGATAATTTTATATGCTATCAGTTTTTTTTTATATGCTACAAGTTTCCAGGAAAGGTAATTTGACTAGCATCACCGAGCTGATTGATGGAATCGTGAAAATATCAAGTAATAAGCATTACCAGCATATTACCCCTTATTTACTACTGTCCTTGAATCAATTATTTAATTGCAATATTACTTCGTTATTCCCTTTGTCCACTAATCTCAGACTACTGATGAGCCTCAGAGGAATTGAGCTATCCGGCTGAAAGGCAAATCCAGCCTTCCTGGCAACGGGAATCAACAAGTGAGGTCAGGACAATGCTTTTTCCTCCCACATCAAATCGTCTACCTCTAGATAGAGTGCAGGGTTAGTCTGAGTATATGCCAATTCTTAATTCTATGACCGGACCATGCGTGGATGATAGTGCGGTTCATGCAACTTCACCTTCACTTTACCCTACCTGTCCATACCCTAACCTTGATGTATGCTTTGTCCGCTTGGCATATGCTGGATTTCATTGATTTACCTCTTTCTTTGAAAATTGAACGTGATATGATTGCTCCTCCCCATACCCGACGTACCCCTTTCGCTTCTACTATGTCTGTAGTTCAGGAAGCTGGGTGTTTCTATACCACACAGCGCCCTCCATGCTTCAATCTGTGCTGTTTTTGAGCTGGTCATCTTCCCTATCTTCCCTTACCCCGTATCCTGTGCTGTTGCCTTCGTTTGGGGTCAGCATTCCTCATAGAGTTAAGTAAGAAAGGCCTACTAGTATTTTCTTCCATCACCTCCTCACGTAGGCTTCTTTTTCAGAACGGTTCCTCCCTGTAGCCTTTACTGGCCTGATGCCACGATCAGCATGATGGTAAGCTTCAGCCCAAGGGAAGATGATCCTTTTCACTTTCCAACTTGCGAGCTTCTTGAGTATTTCATACAAAGCCCGTTGCCTTGACTACAGCTGCGTTTGCGAGCTTATTGCTATTGCAATTTCTGTACAGGTGAATTCCGCTGTGGTGTAGGCCAGATCTTCAGCCTGTACTTCAAGTGCATCCTTTTCTACTCCAAGATTCATCTGGCTTCCTCATCACAATTTAACTAACTCCACTGGTTTCATCTTTGTCTCCTCCAAAACTTCTCTTCCTTTCTTTTAAGCATTGTAGAATAACCTCTGCCTTTGTTCAGGGTCTGGTGGAGTTTTCTATAGAATTGAAGAAAACCTATCATAACTTTTCGTACGAGACCGTCCCTACCCTACTGCTTCCACGGTCATGTTCTACACCTAGTTTTGAAATTTTTAGAAGGACATAATGTTTGCGAAAAAGGGCCTGTACTGCAGGTGCGGTTTTAGAAGGCAACACTTTGATGACGATTACACTTATGAGAGACAATCTTCTAATAAGTATATGGTATATTCCGCTTGTCCCCTCAAGCCTCTTTTTATTGTGATGTTGTTTTAGCTCAAGGTCTTAAACAGATCAGGGTGCCCGGTCGTCTACTGTCGTCAGAGCAATAGTCTTGCATCTCGGCGATTCGTAATTCCGTCCCTCTCTCTCCCTTTTTCTAGTGTTTGAAAAAATACCTTCCGTGAGAAAAAAGTAAGATAAAATGACTCGATTAGCCATTTAATTCAGGCTAACCACCTGTTCACTTGTTCACGTTAACCCACATAGCTTTTCAGCTGAAAGGGAACAATGTGTAAAGTCAAAGTGTGTGTATGTATGAACGTATGTAATGTAATGTGCCGCTAAGGATATGGCAACGTAAATCACCTTGCACAATTAGAAAGCAATTTTTTCGCAGTCCATTCCGACGTTGGACCTGAATGCTGCTGCACTTCAACCTATCAGCAACCTCATGAAGTTCCCCTTGAGCCATCTCATATTTAGGGCTCCGAATTCGAGCTAGCTCTTCGGCCGATGTCTTACACCCTCAAAGGTGTCGATCATCGACTATGTTCCAGGTTTCTACCTATCTTTTCTGGGGTGACATCTTAGCACTTACAATCATTCTTCTTGCTTTAGCCATCACTGTCAACGTTTCTCGAACTTGTGTCAAGCATCCTGTTCATTTGAGCCTGGCGGTTTCAGTTGCTCGTATCTTACAAATTTATGCCAAGGTGTCCTTCATGGTTGTTTTCAATCAGCAGGAATTTTCTCCTTAGCCTTCCGCATAGATGCGCCCTTGCAATTTTTTGAACTAGTGATTATTCAAGGTTACGAATGATGGGCTATAGATTGTTTGAGGAAACACATCTTTAAAAGAGAATCCTTCCGAGTTTTCTTTTCTACAGTGCTATAGGCATTTCCAAGACGAGCTTACACCTTGCGCAGAAAGAAGAGGGAAAGAAGCAGTTTGTATTACTTATTATTAGCTTAGTACTGTCTCGGTGGAATGCATACGTTTTATGATTAATCCTTGGTAAGATATCAATAATGTTTTTCAAAACTCTGTTCAGAAATCGCTTACATTTCGAGAGGCATGTGGCGCTGTCAGCATGCTCTCATTGGCTGCTTTCATAGTCAGCCGGCCGGCCGGCCGGCCGGCGTGCAGGCGTGCCAGCCGAGGCAGTGCTAGGGGGAGGAGGGAGGCAGACGGTCACTCAGCCGCTTCAAAGGGCTGTAAAAAAAGAGAGACAAGATCAAAAACCATTTTTACAAGCCCCTGGTTGTTTGATTTTTGATCTTGTTCTTCTTTGTTTTTTGATCTTGTTCTTCTTTGTTTTTTGATCTTGTTCACCTTTTTTTCGTACATCACTTACGCCCCGTTCAAGTTATTTTGATAAGACGGAAACCTTACTTATGGTTGTGACATTGTAAGAGAACTTATGAAGGGGGGAAAGCCAAACGACCTAGGAGAGAATGAAGTCAAGCTCAGCAAGGTAATCAATTGAAAGGCGATCCAGGGAAAATCGAATGGATATCGTCATGCCATGGATGTTTGTGCAGCTCAGTGTTGTTTCAATTGAGCGTTAAAATATTACATTCTGTCGTGCGAAGGCGGCTATGACGTCCTAATTTCTCTTATATCGAGCCATTGAACAATCAGATCTGTTCTACAAAGTCGTTCAGGCATTGAAGGCATCCTAGAACTCTTCACACTTATTTGAGCACGGTGACATTAGTTATCCCTCTTTTGCAT